ACTTTAACAGCCCATTCAGAGCCGGAAAAACTGCTGACCTAGAGAGCGTGCAAAGATCCTTTACCGCGAAGAATTCACTCTAAAAGTAATTTTAATTATTTAGACCGATTTAAAGTTCTAAATCTGTATTCTCTAGAGAGCAGACGAGAGATATCTGCTTGCTGGGGTTCTGGGAGTTGTTCTACTCCCCAAGCCCGGCGCCGGCACTTAGAGAAAATTATCTAGTTTTCTCTTGAAGCTGTCCACGGTTGTACCGGCAATGTTTCTTATACTCGCTGGGAGGACGCTGAATAACCGCGGACTTCTGATGTTTATACAGTGTTCTCTGATGGGCCTATGGCACCCCTGCTCTTCACTGGTTTTATTCCCCATTTTCTTTCATATCGTTCATTTCAGTACGTTGTTATTTTACTTTGTAGATTTGGGACCTGGCCCTTCTTGGAGAAGGAGGCATGAGGTGGGAGGCATGGGGTGGGGGTGGGGAGGGAGGCATGGGGTGGGGGTTGGGGAGGGAGGCATGGGGTGGGGGGTTGGGGAGGGAGGCATGGGGTGGGGGTTGGGAGGCATGGGGTGGGGGTTGGGGAGGGAGGCATGGGGTGGGGGTTGGGAGGCATGGGGTGGGGGGTTGGGGAGGGAGGCATGGGGTGGGGGTTGGGGAGGGAGGCATGGGGTGGGGTTTGGGGGTTGGGGAGGGAGGCATGGGACGGGGGTTGGGGAGGGAGGCAGAAGAGGGGCCCAAAATAGCAAGGTTTGGCCCATCAATCGGATGACAGACTAATTATACCCACCTGAGTCACCACTACGGATAATACACTTTCACTCCCAGCACCCCTACCCCCGGTGTCCCCCCCCCTGCCACCACCATACACCCCCCTGCCACCACCATACACCCTCACCTGCCACCACCATACACCCTCACCTGCCACCACCATACACCCTCACCTGCCACCACCATACACCCTCACCTGCCACCACCATACACCCTCACCAGCCACCACCATACACCCTCACAAGCCACCACCATACACCCTCACCAGCCACCACCATATACCCTCACCTGCCACCACCATACACCCCCCGCCACCACCATACACCCCCCCCCACCACCCCATACACCCCCCCCCCAGCCACCACCATACACCCCCCCCCCAGCCACCACCATACACCCACCTGCCACCACCATACCGTCCAGTGTTGCGTGGTGTAGTACCTGTGTACTTGTTGATGACTTTTATTACAGTCTTGTGGATATCCCCCCCCCCCTCTGTAATCCTGCAGGGGTTCTATCTCCCTGTTCCTCTCTCTCTTATATGTTCAACTCTGTTTCTGCCTTCCTCTAAAAAAATCAGTAACATCATACTGGTTTCCTATTCTATAACGCTGTGTACCTCTAACATGGAGTTCTGAGCACTGAAGATTGTAACATTTGTTTCATTATTGAAATTTGGATAATTTAGGGTGGAAGTATCTGCACTCTGTTCCAAAATGGCATGCATCCCCTCCCCATCCTGCATTTAAGAGGATGCATAAAAGTGCATCTTTGCACCTTTTGAACCGTATTTGCATATTCCCTGTGCATAGTATTTGCAAATATTCTATTTTGTTATTTTTTCCGGTTGTTTATACCTGTGCTTGTCTTGGTCACCTCTTTACTTGAGACATCTCCATTTTTTGTCCTAATTTCTTCGTTTACGCATTCTTTCTCACTGTTGCTCTCGTTGCTAACATTACCAGGCTGTGCAATATGGCTGCTGTTTTGTACCACAATACCTTCTCCCTCCACAGGTTCTCTGCACTACCCGTTCCAGAGTTTTGGTCACTGTCCAGTTTTGCTTTTTCACAGTCGACATATATCGCTGGTAGCTTTTCTGTGAATGTTAATCTGTGTGCCTCAGGTATGATCATCAGTTGGGTTATGTTTTCTCATATTAACCTGTCATTATTGCAAGTCCAGTATATTCCTCGTCTGTTTGTGCATGTTGTAGATAATGCTGCACAGCTCAGGTGAACTCTTGTGTTACAGATGCAACACTTGACGCCTACAATACGTCTTCCAAATGCTTCACAACACTTGCCACACACCTCCATTGTCTTATGCATTGTATTTGTGCTTCATAATACGTATCCCTTCTTGTCCTTAGTATTTTACATGTATAATATATGTACATATATATAATATATGTATATATTTATATGCTTAAACTTTATGGACAGGAAGGTAGAGGAAGGACAGTCCCCGGCATTGACTAATTTACAATAGAAGCCGTTTCCTGTGAAGGAGTGCTGGTGAGTGGCTGGAGCAGCGGTAGCAACCATTGCAAGTTGTGGAGCAATATGTCGCATACCTGCATATACTTCGTCGGAACGGCCGACAGATGTAATTATTGCATTATCATCCAACACACCAAGTTAACTCTACACCAGACTTTTCGTCATGTGATCCATGAGCGGCGCAGACTCGTGTTTGGACATTACTTCAAGTTAAGTAGTAACGTAATCTTAAGAGGCACCAACCAGTGACTACACAAGTGTGACATGACTTATAGCGTCAAGCACACATGTAAGTATACCTGTGGGAAGTGGCATGTATCCCTGGTGGATACATGCCATGATGAACAGTGGTGTTCATCGCCAGTGGTAACATTACACCACCACCACACCCTGGCCGTGGGGAGGAGACCGCACGCCGCCGCCGTCCCCACCAGCTACGCCACAGCCTGACGTCAGGTGTCACCGCCCCTCGTCTCTCTCACTGTCCACAAGGCGCCGCTGGTGTGTCCAGCCTCCCGCCAGTGACTCCCATACAGGCATACACACCGCCACGAAGGGAACTGTGTTACAGCACCGCAGCCCTCCAGTAAACTCTCCGCACATTAGTACAAAAGTTGCGGAACCAGCTGCCAGACCACCTGTGGAGCTGCTGGTTTTCTGCCAGAGATTTACAACTGTTCAACGTCATTAGTCGTCTTTCTGCATGTAGATCTGTGAGAGTTACAGCTAACACTGTGGAGAGAGGCGAGGGTTGGGGTAGGGGAGTGAGTGAGTGAACACCTGGCTGAGGTGTGCGGTGGTGTCCTGTTGCTCCAGCAGCCCCGTCTCGCTCACCGCCCCACACCTCAACCTCTACACACTCACTCACTCACCATCCTGCCTCTCATTATTACTATTCTCTTCCATCGCCACGTATTGTCATGCTCACTCACTGTCCCACTTATATTATTTCCATTGACTTATTGTGCATGTAACTGAGTAACCCGACTGAGCACCCACCACACGTCCTCTTCTGCATACTGGCAGTGATTGGAGATTGGAGACTGATCGTCTTAGCAATGTTTAGTGAGGAGTTCTTCCCTGAGGGAGATTGTTATGGAGCTGTCAGCTGTCAGCCTTGTTCTTCTGAAGCGACTTATCTTCGTATGAAGCTAAGGCAGAGTAATCAAGCCCAAGTGTATTACCATATGTTACTGAATAAACTTAAGCATTATGCTTGTCCTTCCGTCAAACCTAACTCCAAAAACATTGCTATTCGCCACTGGTAACTTGTGCACCTGTACTGCGCTAGCCCTCACATTAATCTATAAATAGCAGTCGCCGTGGCACAGCGGCTAGACACTCGCCCCGCGCTTCGCGAGCGATTTGCCCTCGGTTCGTATCCTTGCCTGGGATGACTGACCAGGGGCCAAATTTACGAAAGCACTTACGAACCTGTACATCTTTTCTCAAACTTTGGCGGCTTTATTTCCAATTATTAAACAGTTAATGAGCTCTGAAGCACCAGGAGGCTGTTTATAACAACAACAGTTGAATGGGAAGTTTTCATGCTTGTAAACTGTTTAATAAATGTGACCAAAGCCGTCATAGATTGAGGAAAGATGTACACGTTCGTAAGTGTTTCCGTAAGTGCTTTCGTGAATCTGGCCCCAGGCGCCAATCCTTAACTGTACGCCTCTGTTCACCCAGCAGTGAATGGGTACCTGGTTGTTAAACGATTTGGCGGGTCGTATTCCAGGGAATAACAGGATGAAGGACTTGCCCGAAACGCTATGCGTGCTTGTGACATTACGAGAATGTAAGAACTCTTGTATATACTGTATATAGAGCAATAAAATAAAGTGAAGAGGACCTTGAAGGATCAAGTTTTACATTAAGGAAATCTCAGAAGCAGTGACACAGGGCCTAGCGAGCACCTATGACAGAGGCCTACTCCGCCAGGCGCCCACACAGCCTACTGCACCAGACACCCACACAGCCTACTGCACCAGACACACACACAGCCTACTGCACCAGAGGCACACACACAGCCTACTGCACCAGACACACACACACAGCCTACTGCACCAGACACCCACACAGCCTACTGCACCAGACACACACACACAGCCTACTGCACCAGACACACACACACAGCCTACTGCACCAGACACCCACACAGCCTACTGCACCAGACACACACACACACACAGCCTACTGCACCAGACACCCACACACAGCCTACTGCACCAGAGGCACCCACACAGCCTACCGTTGCTGATCCAGTCTTGGTTGTCTCTGACCACCTGTCGCCCACATGCACATTGGTCAGGAACACTTAGTATCCCACCCCAAAGTTCACTGCCCCCCCCCTTCACCCAGCGCCCCCTACCTTGTGCTTGTCCAGGGATAGCCGCCCCCCTCCCCGGCTACACACCTGACCAGGCTTGGGCACTGGCTGTACCAGTCAACGCTCTCATTCGTAACCTATTAGATACATTTTGTCTTAACTTTTAATTCTCTCTGTATACGTGAAAATGTAAACATCAATATTGAGCAACGCGCGCGCACTCTCAGCACTCAACCATCATCAAACAAGCAGAGATGTGATCAATGAGTGTGAGGGAGGAGGAGGAGGAGGAAGGGTGAGTGTTGACAGCACCTGACCCACTCACTCCTCCAGCTGGCACATGAAGTAGAGAGTCACAACCCGCACTAACCCGCCCAAAACACACACACAAGATACTCACTACTTGGCACAGTCTATGAGCTGGTACTCGTTAGCACGCTCGTAGCAGGCCTGTACTCCCTTGTCCTTCCACAACATCTCGGTGTGTTCGTAGAATTCCTCCGGGTAGTCAAAGTCTTTCTGCGAGGCCACGTCCTGGATGTAGTCGACGCGGAACTGGTGGGCTGGGTTTTCGAGCGCTATTGGGGGCGTTAAGGTAGACATATTGCCGGTGATGGTCTGTGGAAGAGGAGAGGAGGCAAAGCGTCAGCTGGCGGGCTCTACTCCCACTACTACTCCTCGCACTACTGACTAAACGGCAGCAGGGGTCCAGTGCCAGGGGAATATGAGGAAGAGGGAGGAGTGAAATGTGAGGCAGAGGAGTGAAACATGAAAGGGAGGGAGTAAGGGAGGAGAGAAATATGAGGTGAAAGGGGTCAAATGCGAGGGAGCAACTCACAAACACAATGGCGATAAGGTCAATATATACAACTGTAGGTTCACCCATGTCATCAGCCTGTCTTCCCTGTCAGTGTCTCCCCCCCCCCCCCCCCCAACACACACGTGGTGCTCGTGGTACACACCAGACACACAATGGTGCGAGAGCGAAGGAGCAGTGTTTACAGGTTGAGGTGGTGGCAGTAATTCCACCATGTGCTCGCATACAGCTCACAATGTAAACAACACTATTCGCCAGCAGGGTTTGAAACCCGCTTAGCTCAACCCAACTGAGCCCAATACATCCTAACCTACGCTAATAGAGCCAAGCGTAACAACTGTGTATACCTTATGAACACATAGAAAACGAGCCTCGTGGAATAGTGTTATGTGGGAAACGAGCCTACCCTAAGTGGTCACTAATTACTCTTATTGGCCGGGTCAGGGGCCAGGGATCTAACTACCCAGCCCCGCGGATTGCATCAAATTTTGATGGAAAGTGAAATTCTTTCACTTTCCATTAACAAATAACTGCATATCAAAAGACGCATAAATATACGCAGGCTAACAGTGTATTTAACATCTGAGGAGCAAAAGCCGATTTTTTTTATGAAATCATCAAAAACTGTTAATCAAACATTTTTATTTATATTACATCAAATAAATTAAATTGCATTAAACACAAAATAAAGGACATTCGGTTAAATAGAAAATTAATTACTCTAAATACCTCGTGTATCAAATTCTTTAATACATCAGTAAACCGTAAGTAATATTAATGTCTTACTTTATAAGAGAATGACAAACATTTAAGTTGAGCCTATGAATTATTGATATATAAGTCTGGGACCAGGTACTAAGACATTATATTATTCATCGTCATATATGTGTGTGAGTGTATATATTACTGACAGTTGAGAGGAGACACCTAGTTGTGCTTGCGGGGGTTGAGCTCTGCTCTTTCGCCCCGCCTCTCAACTGTTACTAACTCCCCCCCCCCCCCCCAACCCAGATATATGGCGTCATGTATGGAAAGTGTACATTCTTTCCTTTCTCACCGCCTTCCTCACCCTGCATATTAATAGGTCATATACCACTTTCCTACATCTTAAGGTTAGCCTTTAACATTGCTAACAGACACGCCATTTTGAGAAAACTTGCTAAAATGAATGTTGCCGGATGGCTTCTACGGCGGATAAGAGGCTATCTATCCAACAGGAATTCATCTGTACTGTTCCAAGGGCATAGGAGTGTAACTAGAGATTTTGACCTTGGCACTCCACAGGGAGGTGGTGTCAGTCTTACTCTGTTCAACGTGTTAACCAATGCACTCCTAAACTCAGTAACTATGAGTTTAGGAGTGCATGAGCCATGAGGTGTCCTCGGGTGCCCCCGTACAACTAAATTACTAAACATGAGGAAGGAACTGAATATTTCACGTGTAAGAGATCGTTTCACTGAAATTAATGCTTTAATTGGTATCAAGACGCTTAGGCTAACCCACCCTAGCCCCTGCACTGAAGCCCTCCAAGCCTTCTTTCTTGAAGGTCAGCATCCCTCCAAATGGATTACCAAAACTGCCACTGTGCTCAGAATGTATAATACTCATCTTCTCTTCCAAGAGAGACAACAACGACACTTTCCTGCCCCATGGGAGATCACCCCTTTTCAAATTATTGTCTCCCCACATTTCACACCCAAGAAGCTGATTATGATCAACCTCATGCTTCGATATGAAGCAAAGTACAATGCTTTAAGCCAAATTTGTGCTTTGGTCAGCGAGCGCTCCCTCCTTGCACGAGTTCCACGGTGCAACTGGAAGTGCGTGCAGTTGTTGTGACCCCGAGAAATGGTTCCTACTATGAGTGTGGAGCGGTATAAATAACTGGGCCTTCACTCCTAAAACATAATTGGTTGCCATAATCCTTGCACTCGAGCGCGTATATGAATCCAAAGTTAACACGCTAATTGTAAGTGACTCCTTGACTGCCCTCAACTCCCTAAGGCACAACTGTGATATGCGTGTGTCTGAAGCTAGCACATATAATGAAATAATCAATGATGGAGTCAGTATCTTCTGTGGATTCCTTCCCATATTGGTCTCCGAATGTATGATAGAACTGATGAGTTGGCCAAGACTTTTCTGGGAGTTAGCAGCATCTGCCGATGTAGATTTGACTAAATGTAAACTCTGTCAACAGAACTATTCGCATACTTTGCGTCATTATATAATGGAAAGTGAAAAATCGCGGAAATCAGAGATAACACCATCAATGGAGTCCAAGAAATGTGTAAGTTCTTCATTCATAATGATGTATTGCCAGGAATCTTAGCCAAGTATCCAAAATTTCCTTACTGTAGGTGCAGCCTGCACATGACAAGCTGCCGCCCAGTTGGGTGGGTGTGCAGCAAGACTAGTAACTGTGTGACTCACCATAGATGTAAAGTGCCTTGTATAGTTACTGTTTTGAGCCTCTTGTTGAATCACTTGTTATAAAAAGATTATTGATTATGTATTCATTGGGCTGGACGGTAGAGCGACGGTCTCGCTTCATGCAGGTCGGCGTAATTCCCGACCATCCAAGTGATTGGGCACCATTCCTTTCCCCTCGTCCCATCCCCAAATCCTTATCCTGACCCCTTCCCAGTGCTGTATAGTCGTAATGGCTTGGCACTTTCTCCTGATAGTCCCTTTTCCCCGCCTTCACCTAGTTGTGCTTGCTGGGGTTGAGCTCTGCTCTTTCGGTCCGCCTCTCAACTGACAATCAATCAACTGCTACTACTTTTTTTCATGTATATATATTTGTGTAGTAGGCATCCTTCAGTCTCGGGAGACTATGGAGTTGCGCTCTGGTTGCTCTCCTGGGCGCAAAGCCTGGGTGGGTCGAAATGTAGAAGCTGTTACCCATGCAGCCGGTCCCCCCCCCCTCTCCACGTTGCTGAAATTATCCAATGGAAAGGCGACGCCAATACACATGGTTCCAGCACCGTCGCTGGAGCTGCCAGAACGAGGTCGAAGTCAACACCGAACTGCCTTAGTGGCTCCAACTCCGGATTTTCCTCGAGGTTGACTCCTGAAGCCTTTCCCAAAAGTGGCGGAGGTATGGCCGCAAGGCAGTGGAGGTTTAGAATCAGGGTTTTCCTTCCCCTAGATGAGCTGCTTTCCCAGGCTAACGAGTCCCATCTACCCGGAGCAGCTGGTTTTAAGATGCCAGAGGCACGCCACGTATTTGTGTACATGGATGTACAGTATATATATGTACCTGTGAATGCAAGTAACATTAACAATTGTTTAACTAGCTTAAGAAAATCGTCACTTGCTTAGCTAAACGAATTATGAGGTTCAGTTCATGAACCCATTATGTGCCTCTGTAACCCCTTTCTGCCCCACTGCCCACACGATGAGTATCCTACATAGGTATAGAGCCTACTGGGCTCTTATCATATTTACATTTGAAACTGTGTATGGAGTCAACCTCCACCACATCACTGCCTAATGCATTCTATCTGTTAACTACTCTAACACTGAAAAGTTCTTTCTAACGTCCCTGTGGGTACTCAGTTTCCACCTGTGTCCCCTTGTGAGCATACCACCCGTGTTAAACAGTTTATCTTTATCTGTAGGTAAATACAACTAGGTGAATACACGCACAAAAAGTCAAGGGTGTTTTCTTCTCCCCTCGCCACGTGCCCGGGGCAGCCTCGCCACGTGCCCGGGGCAGCCTCGCCACGTGCCCATATCCACTGGCACATATCAAATTCCTTATCCAAGAGGCCATGGTTCCTTACCGAGGGGCGCACGTTCCAGGAGGACACGACAGAGGGCATCACCAGCACCAAGTGTTGGGATTAGCGAGGGGAAGAAATAGTGTAGAAGAGAGGAGAGGGAGTTGAGAAGAGAGTAGAAAAGCAAGAGGAGAAAAAGAGTGGAGAAGAGAGAGATTGAGAGAGATTGAGAGAGAGAGAGAGAGAGAGAGAGAGAGAGAGAGAGAGAGAGAGAGAGAGAGAGAGAGAGAGAGAGAGAGAGAGAGCAAGCAAGCAGGGAATGGTGGGGTGGGTTGGGTGCATGAGTGAACGGGTCACGAGGTCAGGACAAAGTCAAGGATTCATTTTCAGGAGAGGTTATCAGGTGTGGGGCGAGGTTGTCAGGGGAGGACAGGCGGTCAACTGAGGCTACACTAAGAGGCTGTAAGGTGAGGCGAGGCCGAGCAGTGAGGCTACACTAAGAGGCTGTAAAGTGAGGAGAGAGGCCGACCAGTGAGGCTGCAAGGTGAGGAGAGAGGCCGACCACTGAGGCTACACTAAGAGGCAGTAAAGTGAGGAGAGAGGCCGAGCAGTGAGGACCTAAGATGTAGTGAGGTGGGACGATAGGCCACAAGAGTGGTGGTACCTTAACCATACACAAGTTAAAAGTCCCGCTCCTGTGCCACAACGGGCTCACCATAGCCCGTGCTACGGGCTAATGTGAGCTATCTAAGTACATAGTTATGACGTCGACCAAGCTAACGAGGCGCTTGACCTGTCATCTTCAATCCGGTGCCCCTAGAAATCACATGAGACAAGCCCATGACATCACCCTAACAAGAGAAATGCTGAATAAAAACACTTGTATAATAGACAAAACCCAAGATGTAAGTAGATTACAAATTCTTGAAGCAATCCACCATGAATACCCAAATCACGGAACTATTTACTCTACCCACCATGAGAGTAAGAACAAGACCGAAACATAACGACGCCAACACAGAAGACAAATTATATATATATATAATATATATATATATATATATATATATATATAT